TTGGTGTACTTTGCAGAGCCCCTGTTGAGGGCCCTACCCTGCCTGGGGAGTGGTGGGTGGATGGGATGGTGGGTAGGCTGGGGGTGGGGGAGGAGGGATGGGGGTGAGGAGAAGGAGAAGGGACTTACATGTGAAACAAGCTTGTTCCCTAACTAGAACAAAAACAAAACAAACAAACAAACAAACAAAAAACCAGAAATGCAAACTCTCCCAAGTGTCCCTTCCCTCATTCACTGATTTAAGAAATGATGGGGATTGGATCCAGTAGTCTGGATGTTTATGAGTGTTAATGGATTTGGATGAGGATTCCTGGAGACAGGATCACCCATTTGGTATGAGATAGAGGTAGAACTAGTGGCTGGATGCTTTGCTTCTCTGATCTTTCAGCTCTCCCCCACCCTAATATCTGACTCTGAGTTTTTTTTTATTAAGACTAAAGAGAATTCGTTCTACAGGCACATGTGTGTACAGGTGAATGTGGAGGCCCAAAGTTAAAGTCACATCACTTCCTTGATTGTTTTCCATTTTATTTATTGATAGTTTCATAAACTATATACTTCTAGTACACATACGTGTATAGATATGATTAAATACACATATATTCATCTCTTCATACCATGTACAAAGACATGACAGTGTGTGGTGTGCACACTCAGGATTACAGTATAAAGTGTTTTTCTTACTACTAAGTATACCTTAGAAGTTCAAAAACTGATCAATATATATATCATTATATATTATATATATTGACTGTTCATCTTTATATATCATTATATATATATATATATATATATATATATATATACCCAATTGAAACATAAGAAAAAGACCTTGAAATCAATTTTATGAACATTATAGAGATCCTTAAAGAAGTGAATAAAACTCTTAAACTGAGGAAAAGACTAACAAAAAATTGGAGAAAATGAGTAAATCCATTAAAGAAAGCCAAGAAAACCAAGGGAGGAAAATCCAATGAACAATTAAAAGAAACGAATAAAAATGTTCAAGACCTAAAAATTGGAAATAGAAGCAATACAAAAAACACAAACTGAGGAAATTCTGGAAATGGAAAATCTAGGTAAGTGAACAGAAACTATAGACACAAGCATCACCAACATAATACTAGAGATGGAAGAGAGAATCTCAAGTGTTTAAGATACTATAGCAGAAAAAGATACCTAGGTCAAAGAAAAATATTAAGTCTAAAAAATTCCTGACATAAAACATCCATGAAATCTGAGACACTGTGAAAAGATCAAACCTAAGAATAATAGGTAAATAAGACAAAATGATAGCCTACAGAATGGAAAAAAGATCTTTACCAACCCCACATCTGACAGAGTACTGATCTCCAAAATTTATAAAGAACTCAAGAAACTAGACATCAAAATCAAAATGACCCAATTGAAGAATGGAGTACAGAGCTAAACTGAGAATTCTCACCAAAAGAATCTCAAATGGCTAAAAGACATTTAAGGAAGTGCTCAACAGCCTTAATCATCAGGGAAATGCAAATCAAAATGACTCTGACATACCATCTTACAACTGCCAAAATGGCTAATATCAAAGATACTGAGGATGACTTATGTTGGAGAGAATATGGAATCAGAGGAGCACTCCTCTATTGCTGGTGGGGGTGCAAACTTGTACAGCCATTTTGGAAATCAGTATGTTGGTTTCTCAGAAAATTGGGAATCAATCTACCTCAAGAACCACTCTTGGGCATTTACCCAAAGGATGCTCAATCATACCACACGGATATATGCTCAACAATGTTCGTTGCAGCATTATTCATAATAGCCAGAACCTTGAAACAACCTAGATATCCCTCAACCAAAGAATGGACAAGGAAAATGTGTTAATGTTTACACAATGGAGTATTACTTAGCAGTAAAAAAATGATGACCTCATGAAATTTACAGGCAAACGGATGGAAATAGGAAAAAAACACTGAGTGAGCTAACCCAAACTCAGAAAGACAAACATGGTATATACTCACCTATAAGTGATATTAGATGTAAAGCAAAGGATAACCAGATAACAATCCACAGGTAACAAAGGGGGACTCTAGAGGGACACATGGATCCCCCTGGGAAGGGAAGTTAGATGAGATCTATGGGGCAAAGTGGGGTAAAGGGGATGGTAAAGGGGATGGGGATGAGAACAAGAGGGAATGAGATGGCCAAGGCAGGGAGGGATACAGTGGAAGAGCAATGAAAGAGATTATCTTAATAGAGAGACACTATGGGCTTAGGGAGAAACCTGGTTCTAATGTAACTCCCAAGAAACTACAAGGAGTACCCCAGCTAAGACTCCTATCAATAGCAGAGAGGAAGCCTGAACTGGCCTACCCTGTAATCTGATTGATGAATACCCTTAACTATCATCTTAGAGCCCTTATCCATTAATTGATGGAACCAGATGCAGAGATCCACAACCAAGAACCAGGTCAAGCTCCAGGAACCTAGGTGAAGAGAGGGAGGAGGGAATATATGAGGAAGAAAGGTCAGGATCATGATGGAGAAATCTCCAGAGACAGCTGAACCAAGCTCGTGGAGACTCATGAACCTACAGTTTTGGAGACTTCAGGGGACTGAACTAGGCCCTCGTTATGTGGGAGACAGCTGTGAAGCTTGGACTAGGTGAGGGGCCCCTAGCAGTAGGACCACTATTCAAACCTGGTACATGAGCTAGCTTGTTGGAGCCCAGTCCCTGTGGTGGGATGCCATGCTCAGTCTTAATGCATGGGAGAGGGGCCTGACCCTGCCTAACCTATTGTGACAGATTATGTTAATTCCTCATTGGAGCCCTAACCCATGAGGAGAAATGGTCTGGGAGTGGGCTAGGGGGCGTTTTGGGAGTGGGAGGATGTGAGGGTGCTGGGAGGAGGAATGGGAGAGAGAACTGTGGTTGGAATGCAAAATGAAATAAGAAAATAAGACAAAATGGAAAAAGAGACCCAGACTATTA